ACATAGAACATAGAACATAGAACATAGAACATAGAACATAGAACATAGAACATAGAACATAGAACATAGAACATAGAACATAGAACATAGAACATAGAACATAGAATAGGAATAGGAATAGGAATAGGACAGAACAGAACAGAACAGGACTTTAGGACTGTTCGTTGTAGCATCCCCAGGGTCACGTGATCAAAACTGAGACACTGGGCAACGGATTCCTATTTATAGGGGGTGCAGCATCCAGGAGTCACGTGGTCCCCTTTTGCGACTTTCTGACAAGCAAAGTCAGTGGGGAAGCCAGATTCACTTAACGACCGTCTGACCAGCTTAATCAACTGCAACGATTCGTTTAACAATTGTGGCCCAAAAAAGTCATAAAATGGGACAAAAATCACTTTATACCTGTCTCGCTTAGCGATGGAAATTTTGAGCGCCATTGTGGGTCTTAAGTCAAGGACTACCTGTACTTCTTCAGACTTTCTCTAGCAAATCTCATTCTAAGTATTACTGACTATGTAACGGTAGTCTGAACTGTATTCTTAGGCTGATCACCCTGATAGCTGTATAGTTTTTGGGATGAATTGCTATTTTTCCAGTAAGATAATCATCCTTTTTTTCCACCCGATAATTTTGAGTTTTCATTGCTTGGCTAACATCAGGCCTGTGGGTGTTTTCTTTTTCTTCCAGGCCAATTAAACCAAATGAAATTCTGCCCCCGGAGAAGGGACGAGAGGTCGCCAAAGAGCTGGGCATCCCTTACTATGAGACCAGTGTAGTAGCCCAATTTGGCATCAAGGATGTCTTCGACAATGCCATCCGAGCTGCCCTCATCTCCCGGCGGCATCTCCAGTTCTGGAAATCCCACCTCCGTAACGTCCAAAGGCCCTTGCTCCAGGCCCCCTTCTTGCCCCCCAAGCCTCCTCCCCCCATTATCGTCGTCCCCGACCCTCCTTCCAACAATGAAGAGCGCCCGGCCCATCTGCTGGAAGATCCTTTGTGTGCGGACGTTATCCTGGTGCTGCAAGAGAGAATCAAAATCTACGCGCACAAGATCTACCTCTCCACCGCCTCCTCCAAGTTCTATGACCTGTTCCTGATGGACCTGGATGAGGAGGGCCATGAGGGGATGGCGGGAAGCAGCATCAGGATGGGTGCGGCTCCTCAGGAGCGCCATCACCACGGGCGGGAATTCCTCTTGAGGGCCGCTAGTTTCGACATCTGTGAGAGTACCGAAGAAGCTGGCTCCAGCCAGCAAAAACCGTGCCTTAGAGCCTCCACCAGCGATGGGATTTTGCGGGGCAAGAACTACGGGGAACGAGGGCTAAAGCGGGGCAGAATCCTCTCTTCGTGGAGCCGTGCCTTTGTCAGCATCCAGGAGGAGATGGCGGAGGACCCCGTGACCTACAAACCCCGGCTAATGGTGGTGGTGAAGATGGATCCCTCCATCCAGCTGGGACCCTTCAGGGCCGTGCTGAAATATCTCTACACGGGGGAGCTGGACGAGAATGAGAGGGATCTCATGCACATCGCCCACATTGCCGAACTGCTCGAAGTCTTCGACCTCAGGATGATGGTGGCGAACATCCTCAACAACGAGGCGTTCATGAACCAGGAGATCACCAAAGCCTTCCACGTCAGGAGAACCAACCGGGTGAAAGAATGTCTGGCCAAGGGGACTTTCTCTGGTAGGTTGGAAGGCGGGATTTGCAGTGCTCTAAAGCCAAGAGTCTCAATTCAATGGAGACGTAGTTTTGAGATCCCGGCAGGACAACCTACTGTCAAATAAAGGCAAATATATGTGTCCCAAGATATTGTTGCAGGGTCCAATCTGAGCTGGTCGCCAGGACCAAAGGTTTAGTCTTCCAGGTTTGGGGGCTCATGCTGGAGCCCATTCTCGGGGAACTTCTATCTATCTATCTCACGCTCTCGCTCCCTATCTCTCTCTCGTTTCCTCCCCCTCTTTCTTCCTCCCTCCCTCCTTCTCTTTCCCCCTTTCTTCCTTTCTCTCTCACCCTCTTCCCCTTCCGCTCTCTCTCCCTCTTCTCCTCCCTCTCTTTCTCCCCTCTCCCTCTCCCTCTCCCTCTCTCTCTCCCTCCCTTCCTCTCTTTCTCCCTCCCTCCTTCTCTCTCCTCACTCCCTTCTTCTCTCTCCCACCTCCCTCCCTTTCACCCTCCCTCCTTCTCTCTCCCACTCCCTCCCTTTCTCTCTCTCCCTCTTCCCCTCCCTATTTCTCCCTCTCTCTCCCCCTCCCTCTCCCTCTCTCCCCCTCTTCCTCCCCCTCTCTCCCTCTTTCTCCCTCCCTTATTCTCCCTCCTTCCCACTCTCTCCCTCTTCCTTTCCCTTTTCTCCCTCCCTCTCCTTTTCTCTCCCTCTCTCTCCCCCTCCCTCTCTCTCCCCCCTCTCACTCTCCTCCCTCTCCCACCCTCTCTCTCTCCAGAATGTGTGCAGTGGGCCGTTCTAAGCATTGTATTTATATGTTGTCTGGTTGTGTGTGGCTTTTAGTTGTTAATTAGGAAGTTGATGGCTGGCTATTAAGTCATTAGTTCTTTCCTTTTGCTGCCAAGCCCTAGGCTTCTAAGTTTCCTGAGGATGGGCTCAAACTTGAGCCCGAAAACATGGAAGAATAAACCTTTGGTCCTGGTGACCAATTCCGACTGGATCCTACAATCTACTAAGCATTGATTTCAGGGGAAACCTGCCTTATTCTGGGCATGAATGTTGTATCGCAAGGTGTCTTGTCTGTTGAGTTACAGTCCAAGTGAGGTCAAATAAGTGAATAGAAATTTTGGATTCTGTTGTTTCCTGTACGTGCATGCATTGGTGATCGGTGCTCTTCCCCACAAAAAAGGACTTGGCTGTTTTCTGGGGAATCATGGCTGCCAATTCTGGCTTTTCCATGTGCCAACATTCTGCATGTTCCGTGGTGAAAACGTACCCTGCATTTAAAAGATCTTACTCGCTAGGGATACAATTACTTTAAAATCTTCGCTTTGCTATTCTGGTGTCAGGCACAAAAGACCATGCACATACAGGAAAGTTCAGTTAAACTGATTTATTGCTAAAAGCCTATGCACAGGAATCTTCTCAACTAAGGGTTGGCATCTATCAGGGATGGGTTCCTTACTGGTGTTGGTACCGGTTCGCTTCGCGTGCGCAGTTCACTGTAAATTGTTCTGCACATGTGTGAAGATCATGAAAAACTAATAAAAAAACATGCTGGCAATGGCAGTGGAGACCGGCGAACTGATTCAGGTGTGTGGCCAGCCTGGGTTGCTGCCAGTTCTGTGACCCAGGCCAAATTACCACTACTGGTTCACCCAAACTGGTGTGAAACAGTAGAAATCCACCTCTGGCATCTGCTTAGAGTTAGATACGGGTCAATGGTACTCAGAGGGAGTCAGAATTCATTCCCTTGTGGCTACATAGAGATTCTAGGCTGATCCCCCTTTTCATTCCACCACCACCCCCAGTTCTGCCATCCCATTCTCTTTCATCTGGATTTACATAGATATGTGATGATTCTTCCAAACATAGTTATTTCATTTTTGACATCTACTGTGTTTTCCCCAAAATAAGACAGGGTCTTACTTTCTTTTGATCTCCGAAATAAGCACGTATTATTTTTGAGGTGCAGGAGGTGGTGAGCGTGGTCAACTCATGGCTGCTTCTATGTTGCAATATTTTTGGGGAGGGCTTATTTTCAGGGGAGGGTTTAATTTTAGCACATATGCTCAAAAGCCCGATTGTGCTTATTATCCAGGGAGCTCTTATTTTCAGGGGAAACAGGGCACTCCAGGCATCTCGGTGGGCGCTGGTTTAAGAGCAGTATTAAAGTGGCACCTGGAGTTGATAAAATTATTTTGCAGCATGCTATTTTTATCCTATGTATCCAGCTGTTGCCAAATATGATCGTCTTGATGACTGTCAATTAGCGACAGGGAGCCGCAGCAGAGGAATGAAAGAGCCACATGCGGCTCCAGAGCCATGGGTTGTTGTTCCCTGCTTTAGGGATAAGAATGTAAGACTGTAACATAAAAACATTAGTGAAGAACCCCTGGCTCTCCTGGCCCCACAGTCTGTCTTCTCAGTGGCCACCCAAGTGGAAAAGGAAGTTCACTGGTTCCTCACCAGATGGCCTTTAAAAAAAATCACATAGCTATCAGTGGCTAATAGCCATTGATCCTCAGGACTTCCGTGGTTGTAAAATGAGGCAAAGCTCACTTAACAACTGTCTTGCTTAGCAGTGGAAATGTTGGGCTCATTGTGGTCATAAGTCGGAGACCACCTGAAGGTAGTTTTGGTCTAAGGACCAGGTCTCCTGCCTTGGTGTAAAACAATGAAGTGAGTGTACCACACTGACTGGGCTGCATGACAGTTTAAAATCATAGAGTTGATAGAAGGGGCACCAATCTGGAACTGTAGTTTAAATTGGAGTATAACATTGTCACCACAGATGGGTTTGTATTGATGGCTTGTTGGTTTGCTGGCCTAAACTTCCAGGGCTGGGAAATTACAGCCTGCAGAAATTTCGGCTAGCCATATTTGAATGGACAAAAACCTCTTTGCCATTCTTAAGTCAGGCTTAATAATTATAAAGCTAGGCTTTGCTATTCTTAAGCCAGACTCAAGTTTTTTTTAAATAGGAATAATCTAGTCATCCGTTTCCAGCGTGACGGGATGGGTAGCTCTTATTTAACTGATGTGCTTAGCATGTTTTCCTTCTTCACAGATGTTACGTTTATACTGGATGATGGTGCTATCAGTGCCCACAAGCCCTTGCTGATCTCCAGTTGTGACTGGATGGCTGCCATGTTTGGGGGTCCTTTTGTTGAGAGCTCAACTCAGGAGGTGAGGCAACCTTGAGCATGGACTGAGAAATACATTTATTTATATCATTTATGTATTTATTTTCCCACCTTTATTAGTTTATACATAACTCAGGGTGGCAAACATACGGTACATAATACTCCTCTTTCTCCTCTTTTCCCCCACAACAATAATCCTGTGAGGTGAGTTGGGCTGAGAATCACCAGCCCAAAGTCACCCAGGCAGCTTTCATGGCCAAAGCAGGACTAGAACTCACCATCTCCTGGTGATTGGCTCAAAGTCGCCCAGCCGGCTTTCATGCCTAAGGCAGAACTAGAACTCACAGTCTCTTGGTAGTTGGCCCAAAGTCATTCAGCTAACTTTCATGTGAGACTAGAACTCCTAGTCGCCTGGTTTCTAGCCACCTGGTGCCTTAACCAAATTGACTCTCTTTTTTTCCTAAGTCCCTAAGTGAACAGAAGCTTTTTGTACATGGCCCTATTCACCTCTTTCAACAAACATTAGCTCTTCACAACAGTCTGCATACAACACAGTCCTTCCCACGTCATGGCTCCAGTGTTCCCTGTGCAAAATGCACCAAATGTTTGAATGATGCTTTCAAAGAACACAGCAGCTGGAGAAAGATATACTGTAAAGCGGACTCTGTATGTTTGAAGAAAATGTGGAGATTGTATTGCATTGCATTGCATTGTATTGTATAGTTTTGCTTTGTTTTTTTCTTTTCTGTTTTTTTCTTTTATTTTATTACTAGTCGATAATTTTACTAGCTGGGTATTTATTTATAGGGGGGAAATGTAACATAATTTCTTATGTTGGATTTTCCCCTTACCAGAGGGAGCCCCCTTGTGGAGTACTGTGAAGCCGTTACCATGGCAATTCCACTGCGCTGTACAGTAGAAGCATTTTACTGCAGTACAGTACAGTAGAAGCCATTTTACTGCAGTACAGTAAAAGCCATTTTAAGGCACAACAGGCTGTATCTTAATAGAACACACATCCTGAGGGGTATTTTTCTCCAGAGAGCAAGTCATTTGTGTGCCACATTTGGTTGAAATTGCTCAAGGAGTTCCAGAGTTATGCTAGAACACACACACACACACACACACACACACACACACACACATTTATATATAGAGAGATTTTATATTTTATTTTATTTTATTTATTTTTATTTTGCACCTGAAAATGCACCTGATTTAACCCTTTGGTATCCTCATCATTGCAGGTAGTGCTACCATACACCAGTAAGAGTTGCATGCGAGCAGTGCTTGAATACCTGTATACTGGCCAGTTTTATTCTTCTTCAGACCTTGATTACATGAAACTCATCATCTTGGCCAACCGCTTGTGTCTGCCACACCTGGTTGCACTCACAGGTAATTCTAAAAACCATGTTGCGCTTTCTCTTTTACCACCCATGAAATGATGAGCCATTTCAAATCCCAAACGTAGGAAATAACCGTCAAATATAGGAAATAAACATCATACTTATTTTTGATTGTCCATTTTGGACACACTCTATGTGTGTCAAGTTTCTATTTGCCCTTACATTCATCTCAGTTTTCAGTGAATAAGGTAAAGGTTCCCCTTGTACATATGTGCTAGTCGTTCCCGACTCTAGGGAGCGGTGCTCATCTCCGTTTCAAAGCCGAAGGGCCAGCGCTGTCTGAAGATGTGTCCGTGGTCATGTGGCTGGCATGACCCAACACCAAAAGCGTTGTTCCCTTCCCACCAAAGGTGGTCCCTATTTTTCTACTTGCATTTTTATGTGCTTTTGAACTGGTAGGTTGGCAGAAGCTGGGACAAGTAACGGGAGCTCACGCCATTCCACAGTGCTAGGGATTCGAACCACCGAACTGCCGATCTTTCAATTGACAAGCTCAGCGTTTTAGCCATTGAGCCACCACGTCACTATTTTCAGTGAATAGGACTGTTTAAAAAAAAATACAGTACCATTTCTCAGATTATTATTTTGAGACCACCAATAATTCAGTAATCTTGTTATTGTCAAGGCAGAGATTTAAATCTTGTTTGCAGGCCACGTAATGAACCAACTGATTGTGTTTTATATTTTTATTGTCTTGCAGAACAGTTCACCGTGTCTGGTTTGATGGAAGCAACGCAGATGTTAGTGGATATCGATGGCGATGTCCTTTTGTTCCTGGAGCTGGCTCAGGTATGAACAACCTACTTAGAGTCAATCCAAAATTGTCCTCGTTTTGGATTATTGTTGCATAGGAATAAGAATATATTCCATTAGAGCTGAAGGAGCTTCTTGGATGTGAAGCGAAATGTCTTCAAAGAAAACCTAAAAAGTCCAGTTGCTTCTTGAAAAAGCACCTTTGGGACAACCATGACCTGGATGACTGGGAATCTCTGTAGATGATTAGGAATATATAGGAATATTCTTTATTGGCCAAGTGTGATTGGACACAAAAGGAATTTCTCTCCGGTGCATAAGCTCTCAGTACAGACAAACAAAGTCATGAGATCATATATCATAACAATAATAAATCATAAGATACAAACAACAAGTGATAAATCATAAGATACCAATAGGAGACGGTAGTAGGAAAGATGAGAAGGACAATAGCAATATAGCCCAACTACAGGAGTGAATGTGTTTAGGTATTTGACAATGCTGTGGGAATTAGGCATTCAGCAGAATGATGACACAGGGGGAAAACACTCTTGGTGTCTAGTTGTTTTGGCATTATTTGACTGTCCTTGTTTTGGAATCTTGCTGGCCATAATCTGATACTCATCTGATGATATGTTCTGTGAAGCTCAATGCTTCTGCATTGACTTGGATGAGAGACTTCTTTTTATTTATTTATTTTCATATAGGTATTTATATCCCGCCTTTATTATTTTTTAAAATAGTGCAAGGCGGCGAGCATATCCAACGCTCCTTCCTCCTCCTATTTTTCCCCACAACAATCCTGAGAGGTGAATTGGGCTGAGAGAAAGAGGGACCAGCTAGTTTTCGTGACGAAGGCAGGACTAGAACTCACAGATTCTTGCTTTGGTGGAGAATGCCAACTATGGCAACTTTTGATCTGTGGACTTCATCTCCCAGAATTCCTGAGCCAGCATGGCTCAGAGTTCATAAAGCTACCATAGATGCCCACCCTTGCATTAGATCAAACTGATTCCCTCTTCCTTTTCAAAGGAAGAGTTGATTCAAAAGGTCTACAGAAAATTCTAAATATATGCCAGTTGCTAAGAGTACAAATTTTGCCCATATTGTTGTAGCCCATCAGCGGCCAGCAGAGATGGCAGCAGATTCAGACAGTGGGGAGGAACCTGGGCCAGTCTGGAATCTGGGGAAGGCTCTGATGAGGGCTCTGTGTCAGAGGCAGAGAGGGGGCCAGGGCTGTATGCCAGTTAGCAGCTGCCTTCAGAGTCAGACATCAGTGAGGCAGACGAACAGCTATAGCCTGTTCCCAATGTGTGCATGCACAGAGTTGCCAGATGATGGGAACAGGGTTGACTTGAGAGTAAGGTCACAAGTGGACAATGAATGGCCTCTCCCAGAGGAAATAAAAGAGGAGCGAAAGGGGAGTGGAGTTTGCAGGAGACAATTGGTTCGTGACTCTCTGAGACTCCTTTCCAAGTTTTTCAGATATTCGGTCTGGCAGCTCTCCAAGCCAGATAAGGTCTGTGATTATAAATCCTCCCTTGAAAGACTTTGTAGATGTGAATAAGCAGAATTCACAGTAAATTAATAAAAGGGGTTTTTGTCAGGACAAGGAGTTTGCTTCATGCTCTTGGGAAGCATCAGTCAGAACACATATGACCATGAGGATGATGTGTCATTAAGTGTGAAAAACTATCATAAGTCACTTTTTTCAATGTTGTTATAGCGTTGAGTCATTAAATGAATGTTTTTAAATCAAAGGATTGCCTGTATAGCTTTCCTGGCTAAATTCAAATATATTGGTGACTCATGCCCGCTTGTCTTTTCTCTTCCCCAGTTCCATGGTGCCTACCAGCTTGCCGATTGGTGCCTCCACCATATCTGCACCAACTACAACAATATCTGTCGCAAGTTTCCTCGGGAAATGAAAGCAATGTCAGCAGGTGGGTGTGAATTTGTAGAATGATGGAACTGCTTTCCTTTCAGGCATGGGAGTTGCGTACTTCTATCCTTGGTGGGTCAAATGAGGACCCAGATTGTTGGGGGCAAGACTGACTCTATAAACCGCTTAGAGAGGGCTGTAAAGCACTGTGAAGTGGTATATAAGTCTAAGTACTTTTGCTACTTACATTGCAACCGGTTGTAAAAAAAGAGATGAATTTGTATGAGTATTTCAGAAGCAATAAACAGAAGAACTCTTAACACCGGTCTGAGGTTCTTAACTCCTCTTCATTTTTCTCTGCAGAAAACCAGGATTACTTTGAGAAGCATCGATGGCCCCCTGTTTGGTACCTCAAGGAAGAAGATCACTTCCAGAGGGCCAGGAAAGAGCGCGAGAAGGAAGACTACCTCCATCAGAAGCGGCAGCCGAAGAGACGGTGGCTCTTCTGGAATGCCTCTTCCCCTTCCTCCTCGGCAGCCACAGCTTCCTCCTCCTCTTCTTCCTCCTCCTCTTCCTCTGCTGTGGTTTGAGGGCTGCACTGCCTACGCTTCAATGGCTCTTAGAAGACGGAGGGAGCCTACTGGTGCCTGGCATTCCGAAGGCGTGGCGAGAGATGCCACAGGCTGAGGCCCTCAGGGGAGAAAATCAGCATGAATCTCCCTGAGAGGCTGAGGAGGAGAAAGCTGGAGGAGAGCAACTCAGGAGCCCAAATATCCAACATCTCATCCAGAGCTCTGGGTGGTCTCCGTCCCTGCCTTGGCTAGTCTAGAAGCACAGAAGATGAAGGCCACCACCGGTGGGACAGAAGGCAGTGCTCTTTCCTTCCCAAGAGGCTCCACTCATCCAGCGGGACTGATCTCCCTTTTTGCAAAAAATGCTGGAGGAGGGAATTTGTTTTTTTTTAAAAAAAAATTGGGGGGAAAACGACGACTCCGAGAAAGATGGAGCCATTCTGTATTATTATTATTATTATTCTTTCTTTTCCCTTTCGCGCAAAAAAAAGTTTTCTTATAAAGAGAAAAAAGTATTACGTACCTCACGTCGACCATTCTCTGCACCTTCACATTTCAAGCTGCTACAGATGCTGCGTGTTCCAAGAACTTTCGTTTCCCCTTCTGGGGTTCCTTCCCAAAAGGGCCACTTTATTTAGGTTGCACTTAACTTACTACCCAGGCACTTATCTCTAGATGTTTTGCTTTGAGCAAGGCATGTATCCTGCCAGCCAACGGCTGAGGCCCCTCTGCTGCCTGAAATGGTGGACGCCCCTATGAAGGAGACGCTGGCCAAGAGAAGCACAGATCCTCCATGGGTTTCAAGGGCGGAAGGGTGGGGGGAAATGACCCTAGAATAGAAAAAAAAAACCCAGCTTGGCAAGGCTGGAAAGCTGCTGTTCCCCTCCACCCCCACTTTTTTCCCTTAATTTTGTCAGTAGTTTGCAACACAATCTTTAAGACTGGACAAATGTTGGCAGATTAAGAGAAAAACGGGAGGAAGAGAATGACGCACTGCCCGATTTGGGCCATAATGCTTGAAGATGCACTTGTATGAAAGAGTATAAACCCATCCACACCCCAGCAGTTAATGTGCTGTTTTAATGAAAATAAAACACCAACCAATACACATCTTGGATTTTAGTGTGGAACGTTCTGTTGTAATAAATGGTATTTTAAACAGATGGCTGTGAACTTGTCTGTGTTCTGTCCCAGGCTTCCCAAGAGCCTGAAGCAAAGTCCTGGTCCCGACAAAAACCCCTTTTATTAATTTACTGTGAATTCTGCTCATTCACATCCAGCAAAGTCTTCCAAGGGAGGATTTACAGTCACAGACCTTATCTGGCTTGGAGAGCTGCCAGGCTGATATCTGCAAAACTTGGCAAGGAGTCTCGGAGAGTCACAAACCAATGAAGCAAACTAATTGTCTCCTGCAAAATCCACTCCCCTTTCGCTCCTCTTTTATTTCCTCTGGGAGGGGCCATTCATCTTCCACCTGTGGCCTTACTCCCAAGTCTACCCGTTCTTTAGTTGTTCCCTTCATCTGGCAACTCTGTGCATGCGCACACTAGGAACAGGCTCCAGCTGTTCTTCTGCCTCACTGATGTCCAACCACTGATTGACTCCAATGAACTGATCCAACTATTTTTTAAGCCATCCAAACTGGTGGCTAGCACTATGTCTTGTAGTGAATCGCGAAAGTAAATTAATTAACAGTGACTCAAGAAATAATGTCAATTGGAAATTCTGAAAATTGTAGCCTAACTCCTACACGGTGGTGCAATGGTTAGTCAGTGGTGGGATTCAGCCAGTTCGCACCTTTTCAGGGAGAACCGGTTGTTAACTTTCTAGGCAGTTCGGAGAATGGGTTGTTGGAAGAAATCTCCTTTTGGTTCTTTCCCACTTTACAGGGCTAATCCTGTAAAGAAGACAGGAAGGAAACATTCTGGTATTGCCTAATCTTTATTGCCTTGCTTATTGTAACCCTTATTACATAGTAACAACTAAGGCGAAGCGCCCATCGACGTGAGTGACATTGAGTTGGCCACTCCCACATGGTCACATGACCACCGAGCCATGCCTACCCAGCTGGTCATTAGGGCAGAGAACTGGTTACTGGTTAGAGTACAGTACTGCAGGCTACTTCTGCTGACTGCCGGCTGCCAGTAATTTGGCAGATCAAATCTCACCAGGCTCAAGGTTGACTCAGCCTTCCATCCTTCCAAGGTGGGTGAAATTAGGACCCAGATTATTGGGGGAAAGGGGCTGACTCTGTAAACCGCTTAGAGAGGACTGTATAAAGCACTGTGAAGTGGTATATAAGTCAAAGTGCTATTGCTATTGCTATAAAGGGTAAATAGTTGGTCTCATACTTCCTACTGGGTTCATGTTAAAGGTGCCCTGCCTAGTCCCTATGTCCAAAATTTGGAGTTGACTTCAGGATTGAAACACAAAGCTCACTTGCTTATATATTTCTATCCTGAAATTTTTGATTGAGTCATGTAGATACAAGGTAGACTTCAAAGAGAATATAGAGAGAGTAAAACTCACCCCCATTTTTTAAAAAAAACAAACGAACACACAAACAAACCAGAAGTAGTATGGTAAATTTGAATCCAGTGAAGATTGGACTCCCACTGCCTTTTTCCTCCCCATTGAGGGAGGGCTCTTGTGGGTTTTTCAATGGGGAGAACACAAAAAGCCAGGGAGAAAAGTTAATATCAAAAACCAGAAAAGATCATTTCTTCTGTTTGCTTAACATAAGAAATACATCTTAATAGACTGTACAACAGTGAGCAGTTTTTAATGTTGGCTTTATTTATTTCAAAACGGAACTTTAAATAGCTTCACCAACAAGTACCAAAAAGCAAGATTGTAAATTAAACAAGAACTTACACAAACTTAAACTCATATTTTTTTTCAATGAGTCTCATTATCTAAAATATTTAAGTTAACATTTCTACATAAATTTAACATTCAAATAGAAGAGAAAACGGAAACAAAAAGCATACAACCACCTTAAATATCAAAAAAGATACAATTTTGAAACCAACTTCAATTTGAAGGGTAACTATTTACATCGTTAATTTTGTTCCACAATTGTCAACTCCCTTCCAGTAGATGTTTCCAAACATGGCATTCTACCTTTGGCAAGATCCAGATCCCAGCTGCTAAGGAAGCAGATCTGGGCTTGTTATCACCCTGTGGTGTCACCCAATGCATCGGATAGAAATATGTTGCATCTCAAAGATTTACAGAGGATCCGGTTTTCCAAATCCATAAAAATCTAATCAGATGGACTTGGTCATCAAAGCTTCCATCACGTACCCATGCAAAATGCATGCAGTAGACTTAAGATTTTTAAAACTGGACCAGGGTCTATAATTACCCTCTTCTCTTTAATGCTGCAGGGACTTCCTGCTTTCCATACCAAATAAAAATCCTCGTGGCCCCCTCGCATTTTTACTGGCCTCTGGAAACGCCAGAGAGTAAGGCAAGTTCAAATTCATCCGGATTTTAAAAATGTTATTTTCACTCAAAACAGTAAGACCGGGTGTGAAGTCACAGCTGAGTGATCTGGATATTGAGGTTCATCCAGAAAAGTTGTCCACCCAAGAAGCTGGGTGTTGGACAGTTCCTTGCGGGGAATGGAAAGATGGCCCTGCCACTCAACCTTGCAATCTCTCTGCTTCCCTTCTACCCACCACCCCTCTTGAATTAAATTGTTGACTACAGAAAGTTATGGGCAGAAACTGCTCCACCGAATTCTTCTTGTGCTAACACTGTCATTCAACTATTGTCTGAGATCAAGGAACATGGCAAGCACAATAAGCTAGCCAAAACAGCAATGCCATGACATGGGACAGAGGGAACGGAATCCACCAAACACGAATAGTCTTTAAAACGTAAATGTAAAGGTTCCCCTCTAGCGCACATATGCGCTAGTCGTTCCCGACTGTAGGGGGTGGTTCTCATCTCCCTTCCAAAGCCGAAGAGCCAGCGCTGTCCAAAAACGTCTCCGTGGTCATGTGGCCAGCATGACTAAATGCTGAAGGTGCACGGAATGATGTTACCTTCCCACCAAAGGTGGTTCCTATTTTTCTACTTGCATTTTTACATGCTTTCGAACTGCTAGGTTGGCAGAAGCTGGGAAAAGTCACGGGAGCTCATTCCGTTACGCGGCGCTAGATATTCGAAACGCCGAACTGCTGACCTTTCTGATCGACAAGCTCAGCGTCTTAGCCACTTGTCTTTATCCAGAATTAAATGTGGCATGTCAAAAGCAGTGAATTCAACACTGAAAGGAAGGTAGTACACAAAGGCCAGTGCTCTACACAACTTTGGGGCCACCTTGGACCCTGTAAGAGGGATGTGAATGCGCTGACCCGCAACAGACGGCAAGGAGAGCGCTGATATCACAGATAAAAGGGGTGGAAAAATCAAGATGTTGCAAGATCTCAGTGAAGACAAGGTCAACTGAACTTTTCTTGCCATTTCAATTTAATCCAAAAGGTTAAATCCTGGTGGACCGATTAGCAGGCTCAGTGGAAGCAGGCCCCAAATTGTAGCTTTTGGGGAGATTTTTTAAAATCTGCTCATGTTGCCACGGTCTCACTCTTGAAAGTCGCTTTGGTCCTGATTTATTTATTATTATTATTTGCGAGCACAAAAGTGGTGGTGGTGGTGGGGAGATGAATACTCATATCTGTAAACCTATGGGGCGGGGAGGGCTTTATTTAAAAAATAATTTTTAATGGAACAAAGAGGACCATTCTAAAAAAAAAAAATTCCAACAAGTGAGGTTTCACATAAAAGTAAGTTGGAGATCAATCTATATCTGCTTCTCGTCCTCTTATTTGGAAGTGTTGTATGAGTGCCCTTCCATCAAGTCCCTAGAAATGGGGACAAAGTGCCAGGAACCTGCCCAATGTAGCACAGTGGGATCTGATCGAATGCTTACATAGGCCAGCAGTTTGATGATTGCCAGCAAGTTGTCTCAATGAAGGCCAAGAAGAAAAGATGGCAACCTTTTAATCTCCTTTTAATGTCCCCATAATCCCTAGTGGGGTGGAGTCTGAGCAACTGAATGGAGCAGAGTGTTTACTGGTCAGATGCTCTTCCTGTTGCCAATGCGGAGTTTTATTCAGCAGATAAATTCTCATTGTGCCCAAAGAGAGAAATATCTGCCTCTACCTAGGATCAAACTCACAAGCTCCTGATTGTGAGGCGAGAGCTCAACCTCTAGGCCACCGTACATATCTGCTCAATACCTTGAGAATAATAAAAAAAAAATTCCCCTGAGAATTTCATCAGGGAGAAGAAAATGGGAGCGGGGGGTGGGTGGGTGGGGACACATCCTTCCTCGGATGATTCTCTTGCATTTTTAATTAGCCCCAGGAAGAAGAATGGGTGGAAATTGTTCTCTTCAGCATGGTGGGTGAGACCAAGAGAACGGAGACTACAGCACCCTTACAGGCACAACGAGAACAGAGCTCCACAATTTACAACCTCAAACAATTACTCGTAAATACGCGGAGTGCGATAGGCCAAATCACCTCCTTCTCATGGCCCAGATTAACAATTCACAAATTAAAATATTCATAAGCTTGTTTTTAAAATTGCCGTAAGTAAAACCCTTGTCACGTTTACTGCAAGTCAATTAATCTTGCAAGTAAACAACTTCGGTTACTGGAGATTTTTTTTTTGATAACATTTTAGTTTTAGTAAACTAGTTTAAATTTTAGTTTTAGTACATTTCTTTTTTTCTGCTCCCATTTTGACCTTTTAGCAGCAAATATACACACACATATTTTTTAAGGAACTCAAATTAAGAGGATATTTTAAAAAGATAAATTAACTCGGGGCTGATTTCATCAACATACTGGAGATATTCTCTTGCTGGGGATCTGGATCTTGCTCTGTAGAATATAAATTAATGCTAAATTGTGAACAAGTAATTGGAAAATCCTTCTGTCCTCTCTTCTCAAACTTCCTGATGAAAAGAGATTCCTAGAGACCTCCAAAGTGCATTTAAGAACAATCCCTTGTCTAAAAATTGAGATGTCAAGTAATTTCAGGCATAGCATTGCATTTCTTCAGATACTTCATTTTCACTGAATTAGAAAGAAGAGAAAATCTTTCTAGTCCTTGCAGAAGAAATTCTCTCTCAAGGAGAGCTCCTGAATATAATTATATTGCCGAGTACCACAACCTTTCCCCTGGCACGCAACTCACAAATAGGAC